GCCAGTGCTGGGTTTCAGAGCCCAGAGGACACATTTGATTGTCTCAGCGGCCCCCTCTGGTCCTTTCCTCAGGTTGAGTGGGGAGGAGGCCACGGCCATGCTCCCACACGGCGGCAGCACCCCCGGAGGTCCTGGTTCGCAGAGGCCAGCATCGGCCCCGCCCTCCTGGCACTTCTGGGGTGCTCCAGGTCCCTGTGCCCTCGGCCATCACGCTGCTTCTAACCCCTGGCGCTATGGGAGGCTGGGTGCAGGAGGGCGGAAGGCCTGGGAGTAGCATTTAAGAGCGACCCTCCTGGGAGGATCTGTGGCTCTCGGGGGTGACTCCCACTAAGGGGACTCGCAGCTGGGCCGTGGGCTTCCCCCCAGCCCATCATGCCCTCCTGCTCTCCCTGTTGCTTGGGGTCTTGGTCGCGGTGGAGTCCCACTGCCCCCTCCCGCACGTGTGTCTGCGGCTCCCAAACCCAACAGAGCGGGAGCCCTAGCACAGAACAAGGACGCGGAGGGAGGGGGTGGCCTCAGCAGGCGCGATCGTCAAGCCGCTGTTCCGCCAGCCGCCCTCATCCTGACACAGGGTGGTCTCAGCAGAGCTTCTGCAGGGCCCTTTGAAGGCTGCGTCCCTGCTGCCCATCTGCTTCTGGTTCCAGCGCCTTGCGGGGCTGATGAAGTGCAGATGTGGGTGACTCCACAGACTGGCCGGGACAACAGGAAATTCTCAAGACTTGGATGGGAACTAAGAGGGTGTTTACTTCTTGGAATTTATGTCAGATGCACAAACCCCAGAACCCCACACCGGAGTCGAGGTTGTCCCGAGAGCCCTGGCCGGCCGTTCTAGAGAGGAGGCAGGAATCACACGGGGCTGGTGCCTTGCTGGGGGCCAGAGCAGGAGGCTGGCTGTGGAAGGAGCTTGCAGAGAGTGCCTGGGTCTGGACGTTTCTGGCGGGTCTGCGACCGCCCTTCCCATGGGTTTTCCCAGCAGCCTCGGCCTGGCAGGCAGGGGACTGTGGGAGGGTGTGTCCAGCTTCCACTGGCAGCCGCACGTCCAGCACATGCTTCTCCAAGCCCCACGTGGTGCAGACTTAATGCCTGGGACAGGGCACATGGAAGTGCAGGCATCTGGTGGTGTGTTGGCTGGGTCCTCGGTCACACATGGGTCCTGGGAGCCAGAGCAAAGCCAAGGCTGACCTGTGGGTTCTCTCCCGCTCCCACAGGCGGCCTCCACATGGGGGAGACGGGGCGCTTAGAGCACAGGGGAGCCCGGCTGAGCCCCAAGTCGGCTGCCAGTTTCCTCTGCTTGTTTGTGATTTTCCACCGCAATTGGATGTGGACAGAAGGAACCAGTTGTTTTCAGGACAAGGGAGAGGAAAGGAGCCACACCTGGCAGGTAAAGGCAGGTCCCAGCCCTGTCCAGCCCCACACCTGGGCCTGGGGACAGGATGTGCACAAACAGAAGATTTTTTAAAGATTCCAGTTGTGGGCCGGGCGCGGTGGCTCATGCCTGAATCCCAGCACTTTGGTAGACCAAGGTGAGCAGATCACAAGGTCAAGAGATCGAGACCATCCTGGACAACATGATGAAACCCGTCTCTACTAGAAATACAAAAATTAGCTGGGTGTGGTGGTGCGTGCCTGTTGTCCCAACTACTCAGGAGGCTGAGGCAGGAGAATTGCTCGGGAGGCAGAGGTTGCAGTGAGCTGAGGTCGTGCCACCGCACTCCAGCCTGGTGACAGAGTGAGACCCCGTCTCAAAGAAAAAAAAAAGATTCCAGTCGTGAAATCTTTTGGGACAGGAGAATAAAAAAGACTGCATGTCTCACAACGTGCTGTTTATGAAGCAGCCATCACGCCTCACGCACTGAGGCCCCAGTGCCACCACCAGCCAGGTGTTAGAGAAATGAGGAGTCTGGGAGGAGCCACACCTTCCCTCCGGTCTGTAGAACTGACTGAAGCCTTGCGGTGAGAACACAATGTTTCTTTTCAGATTCGGATGTGACCCCTGCACTCCACGTGCATCATTAGCTGATGGGCGAGGCCCAGCAGCATTTGGGGGAGCCCTGGACCCCCAGTCTTGAAGCATGTCTCAGCATGGGGAAGCTGTGTCTGAGCCGTTTATAAACCAGTTTTACACCCATGGGTCCTTCCCCGTGGACTTACCCAGGACCTCAGGATGGAGGAGGAAGACAAGCCTTGGTTTTCTGCTGTTTCAGTGTGAAGATGTGACTTCTTGCCTGGAGCTCTGGAGGACCGAGGGCAGCACAGTCTAGGGGTAGGTGGGGTGGGTGCTCAGGCCTCTCCTGTGCTGCTGTTGGTGGCAGGAGTTCTGAAGCCAAAAGACTGAGGAGCGCGAATCGGAGATCAGGACGCTGCTGCCTGGGGCACCTCCCTGAGGTCCCACGCGCCCGGCGTCACCTTCACCACAGTGCCAACCGAGTGGGTGCACCCAGGCGCTGCGAGGAGCCCCACGCGAGGCCATCAGAGGACACGCATGTTTTACACCCATGGGTCTAAATGGCAGTGGCAGGGAGGCAGGCTCACTTCCCAGCCCCCCGGACGCTTGGCACCCCCATGAGGACCTGGCCCATGGGTTTGGACACACCATCTCCTGGCTCCAGGCATGACTGTGCCACGCAGCAGGGGCCCTGGGCTGAGCTGGCACTTGTTGCCACATAAACCTACGAGCAGGGGCTGCCTGGGCCGGTTGCTGCTAAGACACACGCACCTCCCCACCCTGCGTCCCTGGGTGGTGGAACACATCCATGGAATTCACCCAAGTACATGTAAAACCAGGCACAAAGTACCCGCCGGCTTTCAGGAGTGGGCACCTGGGTATGCAGCGTTGCAGCCACAGGCACCACCACAGGGCCTGTCCCAGGAACCCGCCTCCAGCCCCCAGACTCAGACGCAAGTGCGCTGAACCTGCCCGGGGCTGCCATCTCGGAGCCATTTGCCCTGTGATTCCGTGAGAGCCGGGGAACCCGAGATGTGGGTAGCCCACACCTCCTGGAGACAGAGGCACCATGGTGGGACTGGGCTCCCTGGATGTCCTCCTGGGCCCCTCCTCCTCACGGAGGCAGGGCCATTAGGAAAATGCCCGACTGCACGCACCCCAGCCCCTCTTACTCACCAGGACAGTGGGCTCGGGGCTCTGTGGGCATCTGGTCCCTCCAGTCCTAAGAGTGGCCTGTGGCTGTGCCAGCAGGGAGGCTGCAGGGCTGCTGCCCTGCCGAGACTGTGGGCTGGGCTGAGGCTTATCTGCAGGGAGCAGCCTGGAATGCGAGGGTGGGCGTGGGTGGGGATGCTCCGAGGCCACTCGCGGGGTGTGCTGCCTGTGCTTGTGGGAGTATGTGCGTGTGTGCGCATGTGTGTGTTCCTGCGTGTGTGTGCACATGCACGTGCATCCGTGTGTGCGTGTGCATCTGTGTGTGCGTGTGCGTGCATGTGTGTGCGTGTGTGTGCATCCATGTGCATGTGTGCGCGTCCGTGTGTGCGTGTGTACGTGGCTTTGGGGGGCTTGCAGGGGAGGTGCATGTGGGAGAGGAGAGAGATTCAGGAAGTGACCAGTGCGTCCTCTGCCTGTCCCTGCTCGGTGACCACACTGAGCTGTGGCTTGGAACAGGACCTTTGTCCGAGGCCCTGAGCCCACGTCGGGGCTGAGGCCGCAGGCCAGCCCGGCCCCAAGGGCCCTTGCCGGGGGGTCTCCCTGAATGGCCTTGGACCCACCTCCCGCCCAGCCCCACCAGGTGGCCTGGCTGAGTGCCCCCCTCACATGCGGACACACAGTTGTCATGCAGCGTCGTATCCCCCCAGGGTGGCCATCATCAGCCTTTGCCTTCCTTCCCCGGAGCCGACACAAACCAAGGCCTCAGTCATTTCTGGTCCTGCCTGGATCAGTGCCAGCAGGGGAAGAAGGCAGGAAGCCTCACGAAGAGGCGGGGGGCCGGGCGCGGTGGCTCATGCCTGTCATCCCAGCACTGTGGGAGGCCAAGGCAGGTGGATCACTTGAGCTCAGAAGTTCGAGACCAGCCTGGGCAACATGGCGAAACCCCGTCTCTACAAAAAATACGAAAAATTAGCCGGGCGTGGTAGCCCACACCTGTGGTCCCAGTATTTGGGAGCCTGAGGTGGGAGGATTGCTTGAACCCAGGAGGTCGAGGCTGGAGTGAGCTGTGATTGTACCACTGCACTGCAGCCCTGGGCAACAGAGGGAGACCCTGTCTTAAACAACCAAAAAACCCAAAGAGGCAGGGTGACTTCCACCACCCCTGCACCTGTGCCCTGACGCAGCTGCCTGCTCGGCACCCTGTTCCTTCACACACACAAAACTCACTGCCCGAGAGTGGGGCACAGGGCTGGGGTGGAAGGTGCTGTCCCCTGTGTCCCACTGATCAGCCCGTCTGCAGGCCTGCCCCCAGGGCCCTCTGCTCGGCAGACCTCCAGGGCTCTGCAGAACCCTGCATGGGCTGGGTCACCTCTCCTGGGGAGACAGGCCTGGCTGTTCCAGGGCTGAGTCAGGGTCTGGGCCCTGCACCCCATCCCCCAGGCTCCACCCTGTGGCTGCCAGACTGTCAGGTGAGGGCCCCTGCTGTGCAGGGCTGGTTTACCAGGGGTCCTGCAGTCCCGGGCCCAGGTGAGAGCAGGAGGCTCTGTCTCAGAACAGGTCCTGTGTGTGCAAGCAACACAGGAAGGCCACGTTTCCTGATCAGACAGCCGCTTAGAGCAGGGGAAAAGGAGGAGGAGCTTGGTGACCTGCATAAGGGGTCCTTCTGTCTCTTAGTGGGACCCGGTCCCTGCCTCTTGGGGTTGGAGAGGCCGTGGGACTCATGACAGGCACCTCTCTGCATGGCCTGCAGTCTTGCCCAGGGACAGAGCTGATGGGTAAGGCCCCTCCTCATGCCCCTTTGGTGGCTGTGCCTGATGACTGCTTGCCCCAAGAGAAGGGGCCGTAGGGCCAGGGGGCCCTGAGGTGCTGGGCAGGAGCCTCACAGACCGCCATCTGCCCGCAGTGAGGCCGTCTGGGAGAACATGGCGCGCATGTGCGTGAAGACCCAGCGGCTGGATGTGGCCAAGGTGTGCCTGGGGAACATGGGCCACGCCCGCGGGGCCCGAGCGCTGCGCGAGGCAGAGCGGGAGCCGGAGCTGGAGGCCCGCGTGGCCGTGCTGGCCACACAGCTGGGCATGCTGGTGAGGGGCGCCCCATGGGGTGGGTGGGAAGGCACCACGCCTACCACAGCCACTGCCCCCTGGGGAAGGAGGAGGCACGCCCACCGGCCTGAGCCTGCCGTGTTGAGGGCAGAGCCAAGAGGCATGGCCCAGGAGAGCTGGGCAGACTGCGGCGGTGGAGGTGAGGCGGGTGGAGGTGAGGCGGGTGGAGGTGAGGCGGGTTGAGGTGAGGCGGGTGGAGGTGAGGC